AGAACAGGGCTGCCAGCATACTGGTCACCAAGCGATGCAACATCGGTCACAGTAGCAAAAATTTGGACAACCGTGCTATAAATTGCAACTAATCAAGGTGCCGAAGAATGAGGTATTTTTCAGCAAATCCCTCTAAAATTCATTAAAAACATCATTTCTCATCTCCCAGTTACGCCATAAGCTGAATGAAATGCAAGCTAAGCAAAAAAAAGGTCAGCCCTTCTACCAGTGCAATGGCAGAAGCCGTGGCGGCGAGAAAATTCAGTTGGGATCTCTCTGGCGTCCTAGAAAAATCGCTCCTGCAGAACTGGTTCGGCTGCAGTCCAGCGCAGTTTGCTGAAAGGCCGACCAGCGGACAGGAGGGCCTCACTGGCTCATCATATAGTTTTTGAGAGAATTAGAACTCCCATTCTTCGCTAGCAACGATTCACTAAATTTTGGAACATTCGCCGAAGCAAATTGATTGGAAACCGGCTGAGAGCTGAGGGACAAAGAGCTCTCGCCGCAGGCGCCACTAAAGTGATTATCATTAAGAAGGGCCCCGGTGCAAGCGCAACGTCACATCACTGTTCTGGTACCAGCTCATGATGGCTGTCAGGATAAACCTTTACGTCTGGCTTCTCAGAAATATGCCACAAAGCGCATCGTCCAAAGATACAATGGGAGCACTGAACAGACTTGTCCTCTACAGGCTTTTGTTTTATTTTAAAATTTATACACCCTTATTTCCTGCCTGCGCATGTATGAATGGATTACTTAGACCAGATTCTCCAGCTGCAAACGGCAGTTTTTCCAGTCACTCCGACCAGCGCTGCACCACTATGTTGGCGATCCCTCGCAAAATTTGCAATACTTCTCGATGCATTTGTGGACTGCTTTTCCTAGCACACTGCCAGCAGCTTGTGAAAGAGGTCCCATGCTTTTCTGAGCTTCCCTGACTTGTCAGTTAGTCAACTGGTCACTCAGTCAATCGGTCAACTGACTTTTTCGAAAAACCAACACATGAAATAATTCTCAGCGTAATCTCTTCCCTGCGAAGATCTCCATGAAGCCAGTGAGGGAGAAAGAGAGAGATTATGCTAGCAGCTAATGAATTCAGCAGACGAAAATCCATCATTGGAAAAAAAAAACTATCTGAGAATAATCGAGGACAAAAAGAGGACGAAAATCGATAGCTCATTTCATCAAATCGCGTACAAATGCTTATTTGATGGAGAGCGCACCACGCCGCGCACCTCCCACTCCAGTCAATACATTTCGCCGAAACCTGAAAAATAGGAATGCCCGGAGGAACCGTACATGAACAAACACACACACACACATACATATACACATACATACACACAGATACATGTGCAAATTTCTAGCTTATTATTTTCATGAAATTTAATATTTTAAAACTCGGAGTATCATCGCTAACACAAATGGGAGAATGATAGCCATTCTGCTCCTCGATGAATCTACGATCTTTTTCCAGTTTGAGATGGGAGAAGGCGGAAGGGAGGCGCATTCGTCACCTGTCATCATGACAGGTTTTTCTTCCCAAATAGCAACGAACTGACAAATATTTGGTTTTGTCATCCTTTTCGCGAGAAACTCTCATCCCCAGGCCCTATGAATAAATCATTAGCAGCACTATGAATATTCGTTGATCTGTCAGGATTACCGTGGTCGTCCGCTGAGCATTTGTATTTCACCCAGCTCTTTTTCCCTGAATCCCTTACAAATACACGCGAAAAACAACCGATGAGCGAATTCTGCTGTTTGGCGCCTGTTTTCAAAATCGAGCTCAGAATCGGGAACCAGTCCCTCGACGACTCGTTTCGATAATGAAATACTAATTAGGTGTCTGACAGCCGGACAATCGAGTCACTTTCAGTGTGATGCTCACCTGACGCGCAAAAAGGGGATCTGCCAACAATTCTGCTGGCATTCGCGCGAAATGCTGCCACTCAATTATGGCTGAATTCGCGGCTCAGAGATAGTAAAACACGATGGAATTCCAAGCGACAGCGCCAGGTCATATCCAAATAAGCCATGCGAGTCTCAAGCGACGCATGACATACAAGTGATCGAAAGTCACCAATCAAAGCCAGAAAGGTAAAGTGTAGGTGACTCAGCAGCAATACGATTACACGAGGAGCATATGAATTAATGAACCAAATGAGACGTCATGGGTGGTAAATACCCTCATCCGCTTCCGTGCCTCCTAGTCCGTCCTCGTCGGGAGGCTCATCTGCCCCGGAAAAATTCATTTACTATGGCAAAAAATGCAATCAACATATCTATCCCTATATACAAAGATGCTAAAGTGACGTCCAAAGCAAAAATAAAGCAAGAAAAAGCATTAAAAAAATTGATAAAATTGAAAAAGTCGAAAAATGCCTCCATTTTCATTCACCAGGAGAGGTGAAGACAGCCGGAAACAGGCCCAGTGGTAGCAATTGCCAAATAATGTCCGTATGCTGTCAGAGTTGTCGATGGCACCCTTTTTCTGAGAACTACTTGAACGCGAGCTAATAAAATCAGTAAGAACAAAAAATAAATAGCGATGTGCATCAAGGTAGCCCGTAAGATCATGTGTTTTGCGCAGTTTCGACCAGCGTTTTGCGCAGTTTCGACGCAGTTTTGCGCAGTTTTTCACTGTTTTAAACTTTGATCTATGAAAAAAATAGTCGATAAGTTGTGTGGTTCCTAAAGTGCGAAATTTCTCATTAAAAATTTCATGTACCAGTACATGAAGCGCAACGCACGTGAAAGCTGAATGTGAAACTCTGGACAAGGAACACTGTTCCAAAATCTCAACCTCCTAGTTTTCTGGCTTTCGAGTAATTCTCATACCAAAACTTCCGCATGGTCGTGCCTGAAACCTTGTCATATCTGGGAGTAAAGTTTGAGTTTGTTAGGCCTCTGCATAAGTAGAATATACCCCCCTAAAGTTTTGAGCTTCCAAGCTCTCCTACCTCCTGAAATAATTTCCCGCAAGAACTTTTACGGCGCCGTATGTGGTAGTCAAGCGGATGGGACTTCATGTATTTGTTGTAAAACATTGTTTCTGTAATTAGCAA